GATAGATAGATAGATAGATAGATAGATATCAAAAAGTGATATAGATAGATATGAACTAACTAAGAGATAAATAGATAGGCAGAATGATAGATAGATAGATAGATAGATAGATAGATAGATAGATAGATAGACAGACGGATGAGATTAGATATTCATTGTATAGCGGTAATCACATGAAAATATATAATGAAATATATACAGTATTTGCGTGTATTTGCGTAAGTGTTTGTGCATCTATTTTTCATGACTCGATATTAAATTACCCCTCATCCTTTCATAGTTGCATGAATGTGTGTCTTTGTAACACATTTGTGTGCGACTGTTTACTGGCCAATATATTCTGGCATCCTCTCGTACAGATTTCAACATATTATTCTTCGTGACATTCACAATTTTTTTTTCGTCACTCATCTCTCTGTTTAAACTCTTTAAAAAATATGTTCTATTATCCCAGCATAAATGCATTTTAAAGAAAATAATATTTGTTTCCATTCTCCAAAGAACGAAAAATAAACAATTCATTTTCGCCAGCTCAGAAAATAGAGATTGGGATGGAATTTTTTTAAATTAGAAAGGAAATTCTTCACGTCTAAGACAATGAGGCTACATTGCTTGTGAATTTTGTTTCTATTTTATATCATTTTCCAATTAGTTTTCCCTGTTTTTCATTGTATATATCCGAAAATTACAAATAAAATATGTGAAAAAAATCTAATAAAATGTAAGGATGCAATTTTGAAATTACCATAAAATCGGGTGACCATTTTCTACCCTATTTGGTGGTATGGAATCCATAAAGAAATGTCACGAAGGTATTATTGGAAAAATATGATTATTAAAAATGTTTCATTTTTATGCTTTTCTTCATCCTTCATTCCCCTTCTTTTCCAATCTTTTTCCAAAGCAGATAGAACGAAATTCTATTAAATTCGAAAAAAAAAAATGGAAAAGCAAAAAATGCACCCAGCAATTTGAGGTCAATATAGCTTATAATATATATATATATATATATATATATATATATATATATATATATATATATATATGTATAAAACAACAGAAAACAATAACCTGTATTTTTTTAAAAATGTGGTAAAACAAATGATTGTAATGAAGCGAATAAATATTTCCTTGTCACCATCTATATGAACCTATTAACAAATCCATTCGAACACATACATATCCATGCATAGACTCAGATGCGCACACACACATATATAAAAATATAAATATATATATATATATATAAATATATATATATATATATATATATATATATATATATATATATATATATATATATATATATATATATATATATATATATAAAATTTCTCTGTGTGTGCATATAGATAAACATTTATAAATATTGAGATGATACATGCATACATATATGTGTGTGTTTGTATACACTTGGCCCATTCTATATACTTATTAGAGGGTCTAAGCATAAGCACGAGTCCACATACATTTCATAATACATACATACCCACATGCACACATAACCACATGTACATACGCACACACAATACCTTTATATGTGTATTTATAATTTATAACTGACAAAATTCTGCATGTGTTTCATACATATGCTCAAGTAATATCCGAAACACACACACGCATGCATACGCACGCACAAACACACCCGCACACCCCCCGCACACCCCCGCACACCCCCGCGCGTGCGCGCACACACACACACACACATATAATTATTTTTTAAAAATATGATTCCTTTGCTACATAAAAGTTCTCATGTTTCAAAAACAATAGCCGAAAACCTCAATATAATTATTAAAATTACATTGAATTAAAGTATCAACCCCTTTTTCCATCCCCAAGCGAAAATTTAGGAATAACCAATCTTGAAATTTACGCATCTGTGTAGCGAAGGAATCATATTTTTTCAAAAATAATTATAATTTAAGCTCTACTACTGTATGGAGCACTGTTTTTTTTTTTAAATAAAAGCAAAAATACTAAAGAACTCTGGATTATTTACTTAACGTGTTCTTTCGTATTTTTCTACATATCTGCATATATATCTATATCTATCTATCTATCTATCTATCTATCTATATATATATATATATATATATATATATATATATATATATATATATATGATATGTGAAAATATATAGAAAATAGGAAGGAACTGGCTAGGTAAATAATCCAAAGTTCCTTAGTATTTTAGTTATTATTTTAAAAAAATAGTGCTCGATAAAAATATAGAGCATAAATATAATTATTTATTTAAAAATATGATTCCAACTCGCGACATAAGAGGTCTCATGTTTCTATTGACGAGGGTATATGTTTAATTATGGATGGAGGGTGGTTTGACTTCGGGTGTATATATAAAGGGTTAGCATTTGGTTTTCTATAATATAAATAAAAGAAATCAGACTTCACTATCTAAATATTTTTTGGCATCTGAAGGAAACAAATAGGACACCTAAAGTAAAATGGAAAATTATAAACAAGGCTAGAACATGTAAAACTTGGGATGACCCATGCCCTTTGTGCCTCCATGAGAAATTCCACATTATTAAGCTCCTAAATAATAATAATCTATTAAGCAATAGACATGAGTTAACGGTTTTTTGTCGACATCATCAGATTTATGGTTTGAATAATTAGCTAAACACAAGCATACAATATAATAACTTGATTAATCCATAGCCCAATCATTAGGTTCATGGTCTGAATAATTAGCTAAGAACAAGCATACAATATAATAACTTTCATAATCCATAGCCCAAATAAATAGTTTAAATACCCTACAAAAAAGATAACCCTTTATGAAGTCGTCAAAAAAACAAACGTTACGACAGTTTTTATATGCATAAATCCTTTCATAAAAAAAAAAATAAAAAATAAATAAATTCCATAGACACGCATGCCAGACTAGGGTTAATACATCTTCCGTTTCAAATTTAGACACCCCCACCTTTCTGACTTGACATCTATGAAAGTAACTCTATACTGATACTTATTATTAACAAACACACGCCTGCCGCCCTAGCTGTTACCATGGAAATTTTGATTTCAATTATTAAAACACGTAAATTTCAGAAATACGTTATTCAAAAAAAAAAATTTCGCTTGAAGATGGAACAGAGCTTACTTTAACACAATTTAATTCAAATAATTATATTGAAGTTTTCGGCTCTTGTTATGAAACATGAGACCTCTTATGTCGCGAGTTGGAATCATATTTTTAAATAAATAATTATATACATATATATATATAAATATATATATATATATATATATATATATATATATATATATATATCACTTTTTTCATATCTATCTGTCGTTCTGCCTATCTATTTATCTCTCAGTTCATATCTATCTATCTATTTATCTATCTCAGTCTGTTCATATCTATTTGTGACGTCAATCATGTTTATCCCATATAAGGTCCAAGAGCGATAAGGGTAAGAGGGAAGGAAGGCAGTTTATATGTACACAAGGAAAAGTTCTCTGTCAAATAGAGAAACAATTTTTCTACTATTAGGGAAGCCATCATGCAAATTGTATTGCTCTGACTTTCCGATATCAATTCGTACACACGCCATTTATTCAATAAATAAATATGTTACTCTACCATATGTAATAAAGATACGGACATATCTTATTTCTATATAGGTAGTATTCAGTTGGTACACATTTTTGAGTAGATATCGTCATTGTTTTAAACAGCGAAAATAATATCTACCGTTTTACACACTGGATATCTTATTAAAGAAAATTTGGCGCCTGACAGAACGAAATTTTATAAAAGTTTGTTAAAAACGACCGATAATGTCTGTTTAATTCTTGACATTTTCCTTGCGTAAATGTTGTTGCACACCTGAATCGTGTTTATCTACATGTCTAGTCCTTTATTGATTTATCTAGAATATCCTATTTGTATCAATCTGCCTGTCAGATTACTCGTGTCTGCCAAAGTGCCCGTATAAGTACAAGTTTAAATCATACATACATTATGAATGAAGCTGTTTGAATCGACAGAAGTTACTCACTTTTTTCTGTTATTTACATGTGTTATGCCACTTTCAAAAATAATAAATTCAAACTATATTTATTGATATGTCTATCGATCTATTTACCAATCAAAGTTACATTTTGTGTTCTCTGTTGGAGCCTGTAGTTTGATTTCTATCTCGATTAGATGCCAGTTATTTTAAGGATGTCGCTCTTTTAAATTGGATAATTTATGAATTCCTATATAAGATATAGTCATCTTATAGACGTGCTCGTTGTCCGAAATAGGTGAACTTTTGGCTTTGACCTTTCTATGTAATGTGGAGTCAGAGATAAAAGCCTGACTGGTTCAGTTCACTACCTGGTAGCAAGAAATTCTTCCTGCCAATGATTCATTATATCTGAGTACTTGTAAAATATGCTATGCTAACAAGGTATATTTCATCCTAAGTATGACGATAAACTACATCCGACTACAAAGCTTCTTATAGGGAGATTGGAGTTTTTGAGGAGCGAAAAAGCACCTCTTAACTATTTGTTATCATGACCCGGGGTGGTAGCATCTTTTAGGGCCCCAATTATAGACAAATAGGTTAAACCCCAAACAAAAATCAACAGCACATTTTGATAATAAAATGAGTAACAATATATTTTTATGAAAAATTACAATCATTACAAAACTACAGAGATATCTAAGGAAACTCACCTTTACTTTGAAATTGTGAAATTATCTACAAAATATCTGTAGTTGTAATCATAAAATTACATGTAAAATATTTATATTTCGGCATTTAATAACCCATAGAGATGTTGATAAGCCATTAAACAAAATGAACCAACCAACAAGGTATATTAAAATATTCATTAGAGTACATTCGGCCATTGCTATTATCAGGAATATTAACTCTATCTATCTATCTATCTATCTACCGTTCTGCCTATCTATTTATCTCTCACTTCATATCTATCTATCTGTCTATCTATCTATCTAATCTTATTCTACCCTAAACTTGTACAATCTTGATGAGTGGTCATATCGTCAAATAATATCCTTGCCCCGAACACCTTTTCGGCCTAAGACTCACTGTAGTCGTAAGAATGTTGGGAGAATGATTAGCGTAGCTCAGATGTGGCACAAGAGGCACCTAGTGAGAATCGAAGTCACTATTCAGTCGTTATTGTCTTAGCGAGACAAGCTTGCCAAACATTACACCGCCTCGAGGTGCCCAAATATTGATTTTCAAAGCGTAGCTCAGATGTTGCACAAGTCCGAAATATGGGGCACCCAGTGAGGATCGAACTCACTATTCAGTCGTAATTGTCTTAGCGAGACAAGCTCGCTAACCATTAGACCACCTCGGGGTGCCCAAAGAATGATTAGTACATTGTATCGCTCTAAGCCTAACTCTTGCCGCCATCTTTTATGTTTACCATAGTCAGAGAGGACCAAGGAAGTGATATATCTTGGCTGGTGCTACCCAGTTCTCACGGTTCTCAGCGTCCAGCCACAACAATGTCCAAAAGTGATGGCGCGTTCTTGTTCTACTTCATCCTGCAACAATTACACACAAAAATTTTGTTGGCCTTTCACTAGTAAGTCACCGCCATTCTATTTATATTCTTTGACAATGAATAAGTTCCATTCGGACAACTAATTTTCCAGAAATCTTACTATACGAAGCAGACTCCCGCGAGAATGTCTCCCACATCACTAGCATCTTGACCAATGCTAATTGAGAGTTAACAAATGTCTTTCCTATTCATCCTCATAATATACACTACTTACTTCCTTATTTCCCCTCTCTCATACTTCTTAGTAAGACTCTAATTTGATTGGCCCTTATACCTTCTATAGGGCCAACTGCATTAAGAAAAATCTATCTATCTATCTATCTATCTATCTATCTATCTATCTATATATATATATACACAGAGAGAGAGAGAAAGAGAAAGAGAGAGAAAGAGGGAGGAGAGATAGAGAAAAATATTAATAGACAAGTATATATATATATATATATATATATATATATATATATATATATATATATTATTTCTTGAAAACGAGGACTTTAATAGATCATAGTGATATTTATTTCATTAGAATCGAAATTTCTACTCCAACTCATCAGAACGAATATTACACAAATAAATGGATAAAGATTTTGCCAGCGTTATATGCTGTTTTTGACATTGAACTCTCTCGGGATCTATATCTTTCTTTGGAATTATCCATACGTATTACCAAGAAGAGAGAGAGAGGGATAGATAGATAGATAGATAGATAGATAGATATTAATAGACTATGATATATATATATATATATATATATATAGATAGATAGATAGATAGATAGATAGATAGATAGATAGATAGATATTAATAGACTATGATATATATATATATAGATAGATAGATAGATAGATATTAATAGACTATGATATATATATATATATATATATATATATAGATAGATAGATAGATAGATAGATAGATAGATAGATATTAATAGACTATGATATATATATATATATATATATATATATATATATATATATATATATATATATATATATATATATATATATATTCTTTCAGATGCACTCATTTATATCTTAATTTCACAGCCACATTAACACAAACACACACAGACACGCACACACACATACACGTGCACTCACATTCACACATGCATGTCTATAAAAACACAGTATGGACAGATGTAAACCTTTCGTTACCAAGGCGTTTCGTCCCTTACTGTCTATCAAAGTAAATGTGGCTTAATAATACGTCAAGTGACGAAACGCTTTGTTACAGAAAATCTTTCCTTTTATATATATATATATATATATATATATATATATATATATATATATTTGAGAGAGCGATTGAGAGAAGAGATAGATAGATAGATAGATAGATAGATAGATAGATAGATAGATAGATAGATAGGCAGACAGACATGTGGTGTATTTTTTACCGTTATTTGTTTTCCATATCGTTTTCAATATTTTTTACTGGTTTTCAGGAAGAAGAGACTGGAAATATAATAAACCATAATCATAAAAAAACAAGCAACATTAATAAATTTTAATTCTAGTTATAATTAATTTATTAAATGTATATTTTCTCAATGAGATACGAGACCGCAAGTCAAATGGTGGAGACATGAAACTCAAAACAGGCCGAGAAATGCAATGCATTCCTACATTGAGAACTCTGTCAAACTGTAAAAAAAAACATTGAATGATTATTTAGAAAAGCAGAAATAATGGAACACTGGAAAATGCCTTTTGAAATTCTCCCCATATATTAGACAAATGATGTGAACCTATGCAATAATAATGACCAAAACTTGGTTCCGTCAGATTTGACCTTCGCCACAAGGAGCCGGCATAACACGAACTTTAAAGCAAACCACCCATGTTCCCTTCGTATTCGATCGGGGAGAAGTTCTTCCCGTCAACCACTGCTCTGTGAAACCGACTCCTAAGAGGATGTTTCCCCGATCACTACAATCTTAACCTGTTCAAGTCTAGGGTTAACAGTTAGCTGTCTCGCCTATCCGAACAAACTGCTTCCCAACGTAACCCAATACCTCGAGTTGCACATGTGATTTATACAGAGGATCCGCTTATATATATATATATATATATATATATATATATATATATATATATATATATATATATATATATATATATTGTGTGTATTTAGGCAGCATTTTTCATTCATACATGCTTCATTAAATAATATAGACAAGTGTTGTCTATTTATTTTATGTAAATTCTTTACGTAAGGTCTGATAAGCTTAATAACATTATCAGTGAACGAAGAAAGAAAAGCACAATATTGATCCATATTTTTTAATCCAATCTAAGCTTTCGGCTTACATAAGCTATTATCAAAGTTGTCAATTACTGTACAACATATTAAGCAATATACGGACAAGACAGTGATGATAGTCTGTGGTTGTTTACATAGATGATTTCCTAGCAACGATAAACACGTGCATATAAGGCGCGAGAAGCGAAAATCGCACCGCAACTCATGACGTTACACATGACCACGCGAGAGTGATTTCGAGAAGTATTAAGTATGGGAAGCCGTTGGTATAAACCAATGGCTTCTGTTACCAATTATAGACATTTAATATATATATATATATATATATATATATATATATAGAGAGAGAGAGAGAGAGAGAGAGAGAGGGAGGGAGAGAGAGCGGGAGAGAGAAAATATATATATAGAGAGAGTGAGAGAGTATCTGTCTATATTTCTGAGATGAGGTATCATGTACATTATTTACATTATTCGGACTATTGTCCTCATCTTTGTCGCCATATTTATTACAACGTTTCGGCCGTTGTACACTCCAGCCTTCTTCATGTGGTTGGAATTTCGAACTGAACCTTTTTCGCTCACTGGGGTAGACTGTTCTAGTTCCACGTGCCATGTTTAATAGTTGTCAGTTATCAGTTATCTCCTGTTAATTTTCCCTCTGAAATTTCTCCACTGCCTTAACCGGGTATTGAACTCACACTCTTTGGGTCCTGTCACTGGGCCTAACTAACGGCTTTATCCACTATGCCATGTGTCCTTGAAGAAGGCCGGAGCGTAGAACGGCCGAAACGTTGTAATAAATATGGCGACAAAGATGATACAATAGTCCGAATAATGCAAATAATAGAGAGAGATATTCATTTTAATATGATTTTAGATTGTATTTTTTTCGTCTTTTTAGATTGTAATTTTTAAGTGTTTTTCATGTGACGTCATTTCTTATTACTCTAAAGTTTACTTTTCGTCAATAGCTATACCTTCTTTTTTATTTGTTTAAATAGTGAATCACTGAAATTGTTAACAACTTACATAATAGGACTTCTCGATCTAGGTCGGTTGTTAATAATTTCATCGTCCAAAAAAAAAATACAAACAAGGATAGCAACTTAAGCATTGTGTATCCATATAAAATAACGTTTTACATAGTAATAAGATACCGAAAAAGAAAAACGTTATATATATATATATATATAAAGAGAGAGAGAGAGAGAAAGAGAGAGAGAAGGGGGGTGTCCCATAATGGTGGGACACATTTTAAAAGCAAGTATCTTGGATTTTAAAAATGACATACAGTAGTAAATATATTTATTGCGTAACTGATATACAATTGGATGGCGGAAGCTGGGGAATGAAGAAGAGCAATTGGAGAAGAGCAGTCCACGAAAACAAATCCTTCGAAACCCTCCAGAAGACAAATTGAAGAGAGCAAAAGAGACCAAAGAAAATCCGGAGCTGGACATCTCCTTAACCATATCATGCAGTGTCAGCAGCGTCTCTTCAGATCTAGCACAGGAGTTATTTCACACAGATGGAAATTTCGATACTCGTCGACGACTTCCGCCAACGAACGGACGAGCGATATATAAGAGTCCAACGTCTTTATAATTTTGCTGTTTCCTTATGATATCTCTTTCGCTGACGGCGGACCCTCATAATGTCGTGGACTGCATAAGAAATTGAAGTGTCCGAAAGAAGTGTCACCACCATTCTTTGGTTGGCTAAGATGTATGCACTGTTACGGTTCGCAGAAACCATTGTCCAATTTTCCGAAACATTTCTTGATATAATGGCATCAAGTCTCACACAATTCGGTAAAAGTCTTGAAGAATGTTATACAAAACAGAGTGTCCTGATTGCAGAAGGATTAAAATCAGAGTGAAGATAAATCATTTCCTTGGTTAGCAAGATGGCGGGATTTAGAAAGCCGAATTTAGTTATGTGTCGCTTACCTTTTCTTTGCTTGCTCACCACCAAAAACGCTTGAAAATTTTGAAACACACACTTAAGTGAACTTCAAATAAGCGACACGAAATCGGAAAGTTACATTTGCCTGTGAGCGCTCGAAAGTATATGCACGTTTATTTTGCCAGTGTGTATGTACCTATTAATGGGATTGCCTCTTTATATTGGATTGTGTGCGTATTTAGGCGTGCGCGCGTAGATAGAATACCAAAGGGTGTAAATAAATGCGAGTTTAACGAGGAAGAGAAAGAATAACAAGAATTAAGGGAAACAAAATATCGAATGGAAAAGACGGAGAATATTATTAATGAAAACGGAAAAAGGAGAGAATCGAGACAAAGGAACAGGATTCAATACGATAAAGATAAGAAAATGATAGATAGATAGATAGATAGATAGATAGATAGATAGATAGATAGATAGATAGATAAGAAAAGACTCAAATAAATAGATAGGAACAGATTAAGATAGATACGTACAGATTATCATAGCTAGCTAGCTAGATAGATTGGAACAGAGTGGAATTGATACTTACAGTATCAGATAGATAGATAGATAGATAGATAGATAGATAGATAGATAGATAGATAGATAGATTGATTTATGACTGACAAATGAAAATCAAAAAATATAAAAGTAAAAATACTAGAATTTGTTTCTTCTTTTTCTCCGTTTATTATTCTCTGATGGAGCTTTAATAAAAGTGAAACATTAAAGTGATAAAGGTTGTGGCTAGATGCGAAAGTGTCTCGTCAGTATTCTTATGATCTAGTTGGCCGAATATTCTTGCTTGATAAATTGTCTGAATTGTTTTCACCTTTTCTTTCTCCGGTTGTTCTTAATTTTATTGAAAGCATGTCTCCCAAGCCCACTATTTGGTGAGGGCGGAGGATTGGCCGTTGATCCCCACCACCATGTCGATGCTTGGACTTAAGGTAAGCCGTACATTCACTTGTTATCATGAAGAAGAAAGCGGACAAACACTTGCTGCCCTGTGAGATAGATAGATAGATAGATAGATAGATAGATACTAGCAGATTCAAATTGATACGTACAGACTCGTATAGACATGTACGTAAATATACATATATATATATATATATATATATATATATATATATATATATACAGATAGATAGATAGATAGATGCGTACAGAATTTAACAGCTAGCTAGCTAGATAGATAGATAGATAGGAATAGACTCAGCTAGAATGTGCAGACTCAGATAGATAGATAGATAGATAGATAGATAGATAAAACAGACTCAAATTGATACGTACAGACTCTGATACACACACACACACATATATATATATATATATATATATATATATATATATATATATATATATATATATATATATATATATATATATATATATATATATATATATACAGAGAGAGAGAGAGAGAGAGATAATATCGAGAAAGGCCTCATGAAAACATGAAAACGTAAATAAAATTAACGCAAAATCTTAGCAATATAATCCATATGGGAAAAGGTCCATCAGCAACAGTGAAAAAAAAAACTTTGACATGAAAATATAAAAGTAGACTTTGAAGAAATATAAAAAGAAGCCTGAAGATGAAGACAGAAGTTTTTTTTTTAAAAATACCTGAAAGAAAAACAAAAAAAAAAAAAATCAATGAAAGAAATAAAAATTTCCTTCCAGAAGCAAAAAGTGAAGAAATGTTAACGGCTAGAAGAGATTTAAACCAAATGCGAACTGAAAATACTAACCATAAATAACGAATACTAATTTAAATGACGATTAATAGGTGTAATCAGAAAGACGGGAAGTGAGAGTAAACAGGGGAAATAACTCGATAGAACAAATATCTGGAACGTTATTTACCCTCAATACATCCAATGATGACAAATAGTAATTCAAAATAATATTATGTAGAAGCAATTTCTGCTTAAGTTTTAAAAGTGTATCTCTAAAAGCTATAGCAAAACACTGATAATGCTCATGAAATTAAAGAAAAATGCCGATGGGAATAATAATAATAATGATAATTATTATCTGCAGATCACGTGATGTACAAAAGTAGCCTTACAAGCAATGCACAAACACGGCCATGTAGGAAGAGTACTACACTAAGAATTATGCAAACAGTTGTGTTTTGTCCTGGTAAACAGGAACATTTTGTTCAAAACAAAGATAACTGAAATCTTGTCGGGGTTAGCTCCTCTTTAATTACCTAATTAGCACTAGGGGTCATTCTCCCTATACTATAAATACTGGGCGTCTTCTCGCCTCGTTCTCTTTTTCATTTCTTCATTTCAGCGATTACAATGTAAGCTCTCTTAGAAGATCCGCGTCTTCCCATTTGTGGGAGACATCATCATGAACATTATACACACATACACGTACGCACGAACATTCGCTAAAGAACAGACACAAATGTTCACACACACATACAAATGTTATTGTCTACGTCCATTGTAAAACTGTGTCGTTTAATATATATATTTGTTTATATATATATATATATATATATATATATATATATATATATATATATATATATATATATATATATCGGTCTTGTTTGTCTTCTTTATCTTCAGTTGGACTTAATTCTAGTCCGACATTTTCTTGTATATCTGGGCCTTCTTCTAGCAGAAACTCAAACGCACGTGTCGTAATACAACAACGCACAAACACACACAGTCCTTTATAATCTAATGTAATGAGGTTCTTCAGAAGGAAGCTGGGGATACTATGGACTAAACACGAGCAAAGACGAAGTTTAAGAGAAAATAGTAAAAAAAGACACTTATACTTAATATTAGAATGAGGCAGTTGAAATTACTGGGACACATAACAAGTAAAGACGCCTTGGAAAATTTGAAACTCACAAGACCGAGTGAATGCAAAAGGGATTGAGGAAAAAAAACTACATATGGAGATTGTGTAAATGGTTGGCAGAACAATATTTAGGAGAGATAATAAAAAGACAAAATTTAGAGCTACAACGAACAGGGAATTGTGGGCAGCAATAATCGCCAATGTCCTGAAGAGTCACGACACATAGAAGAAGAATTTTGAATAAAAATCTGCAATTTGAATTGTAAAATCTCATTAAAAATATTAACCAATTGAAGCTATAAGTTTCATAAAATTTGATATTGGTACTACCCTATCTAATCAAGGAGACATGATTTAATAGTCACAAGAAAACCCTATCATATTATGGATGTGACGGTGAGATATCGGATAAAAAATTGATGGAATATTGAAGTCCGACATTAGGAAAATAACATGTGCTGCAATTAAGGAAGCGTTGAAACATGAAAATTAGAATCATTCTATCAACCGCTGAGATAGAGACTAAATAAATTTAACTTTTTAGGGGAACTGAAATTGTCCAAATCACATCAGATATTGAGAGAATTGTTGAAGATTTTGGAAAACTTCTCAATCATCTCCAGGAATCACCACCAGACATCTGATGTAAAGATACAATTTCACTACTAATACTACTACTACTAATAATATTAATAACTAGAAGAAGAATAAGAAAAAGAAGATGACGGAAGAGCAGGTGGTAAAGTAGGAGGAACCAAAAGTGGTAAATAATAGAAACAATAACTTCTATCAAAATGATAATGAGAGGGATGATAAAAAGATGAGAAATATTACGACTAGAAGTTATAAATTAAGCAACAACTGTTACTAGTACTACTACTACCACTACTACTACTACTACTACTACTACTACTACTAATAATAATAATAATAATAATAATAATAATAAGAAGAAGACGGGAAATACTGACAAAAATTACGACTATACTTATAATAATAAGCTGATGTTGATGACGAGAACACTGATAATAAAAAGCAGAGTAAAAGAATAATAACTACTACTAATACTATTATTGTTGCTTCTACTACTACTACTTGTAATCAGTTTATGAAGGATGAATAAACAAAGAAAGAAAAGAAAAGAAAGAGACGATGATTATTACTACTACTTACAATTACGACAACAACGACTACTACTAATAATCATAATCGTCACTGCACGAAGAAAACGACGAGAAATTTTAATAATAAAAAGAATAGAAGAAGAAGAAGAAGAAAAAAAAAGAAGAAGAAGAAGAAGAAATAAAAGACGAGAAATATAATTAACAATATTTACATTATTCGGACTATTGTCCTCATCTTTGTCCAAAAAGAAAATGGAGACAAATTGAAAAATCCTACCAGCTAGATACTGAAGGATCGGCACGCGCCCGATATACCAAAAATATGGAGATAATTAACAATGTTAAAAAGAAAAGGTGTTAATTACTACTACTGCTACTACTATTACTTGTAAGAATAAGATTTAAATGAACGAGAAATACTAAAAATAAAAAAAAACATGAGGAAAAGGACTATTACTACCACTATTAACATTACTATTACTACTAACACTATTACTACCAATAATAATAATGATAGTAAAAGGCAAAGAAGAAGAAGAAACGGATACCTTATAAAAATACTGAAAACTGAATTTGTTAAAATGCCGACAACGAAGATGCTTACAATAATGATCCCAATAACCGTAAAAACGAAAACATCAACTCGTGACTCGAATAAATTCAGTTTCGGTGGTGGGGGGGAAAGAGAGTTGAGGGAATATAAGTGGCTGTAGTGTAGCGGGTAGGACAGGGTTGCTATTTAGTTATGAGCGATTCACACGTAATGGCGCCAACAGTACCTCGGCAGTGGTACCGAAGTGCGGGTTTCAAATGACTCTAGGTCTGACAATTCGTGCCACACCGTATCCCCTACAATTACTACTTGACATGGCGACGTCTTTCTGAAGCACTTACCAGACAAGAATTCACTTCCAAAGTCTTCGCACTATCAGAATTCCAATTGGCTTTGGAACGTGAATAGGTCGAAGGAGAAAGAACAAGATATTTATTCAGCCATTGCATATAAATATATGTATTTATAAATATGCATATACGCTTATAAGTATACTTAAGTATATGTGTGTTAAACTACAGGCGATGGCAGAGAAGGTAGTAGCGAAAACAAAAGAACAATAATCAACTGTAAGATGACTGAAAACTGTAGATTGTTGCTAACAAACGGAACACCCGGCGATACGAATTAGAGATGTCTAAAGCAAGTAAGAAAAAAAATAATAATCATAATTTGGGTAGCTGCCTTCCGAAAGTTAGGCAAATGAAAGTATTTATTTTTTAACAAATTAAAATTTATTGAAACAAAACATTTACAGTTGACCAATGATGACAATTCCAGAACAACGTAACAATAAACAATTTTTTCTAACCTCTGCCAGCCTCAATGATGGAGAAAGCATTACCTCGAACCATCGCCAATGAGACACGCTGCAAGAGCCACTCCGTTTCGCGAGGCTCGTCCCTTAATCGAGACGCAATCGCGCCAATCCTCCGAAGTAACGGCATCGAACGAGGGCCAATAACCCCTGAAGTCTCCACTGCCACAGGAGTAAAAAAAAATATCTATCACTAAGAGAAAAATATTTAACTATTTTTTTCATCTCTGCATCCCGGGCGACGGATCCTGGCTCAACCGCGGACCTGATCAAATTACCGCCCGAAAATGTATCCGCACAGGTCACATCCCAAATCAACGACTTCCCCATTTTAAAAGGGAAAATGGTAATGCCACCCGGCCGCTTTCCATTACCGCGGTCGAGGCTTACGGGTTAGGCAAATTATTATGTTATTAAACAGGAAAATTTCGTTAAAAACAATGAAACGAGTACAATACTTATGGAATATCAGTCCTCCTATATGTCCGTGAATTATGGACAATCTTCTCACATATGAAGAAGAGAATTAAGGTAACAGATATGTGGTTCTACCGAATGATACTAAGAATGCAATGGGTTGGATGTATGAATAACTAGGAACTTTTTAGATAAATGGAAACAAAATAGACGTAGAATCAGAAAGAAACAGTTGAAATTTCGAGGATATAATAATGAGGAAAGATGGTCTGAAGAATCTGGTACTCACAGGGCATATTGAAGGCAAGAGGAACAGGGTAGATTAACTACTAAAATACCTAATGAGTTTGTGTAAATGGATGGTAGAACAGGGATTGGGAAAGATAGCGGAAATACAAACCTTACTAAGTGCTACAAAGGACACATAATGAAGAAAGATAGCCTGGAGAATCGGATACTCACAGGACATAGTGAGTATAAAAGATGCAGTGAAAAGCAACGAGTGACATGCGTAGTGGGCTTGTGTAAATGAATAGTTGAACAGAGACTGAGAGGAAAATAAAGGTTAAAAAATTATTTAGTTTTTTCATGGAGAGGAATTCGGGGAGAGCCAGGATCAACAAAAAGGATATTTTCTGAGAATTCACGACAGAATAAAAATAATTTATAATTACTAAAATTCACACCTAATTCTTACAGAGCGAGGACCTTTCATTGCAAACCGGTTGGGTTGACCTTTACGATCGCCCCAAATGTGGGCGACTCCGGCGATCTATTTCTGAGTGTACGGTCTATGTTCACGGTCACCCAGATAAACAAGCGAAAAACAGATTTTTTTAAATTTTTTAAATA